TGAAGTCTTGAGGTCTACTGAGAGCATGATAAATATGGTTGATAACAATATGCTATATTTTAAAAGTTGTGAGATAGTATGCTTTAAGTGTTCTCAAAATGATGAATATGTGTGATATAACATGTTAATTGGTTTAATTTAGCCATGCCATTGTGAACATACTGTATTCTGTATCATAATTGTGCATGACTTTATTTATGAGCTAAATAAATGAATGAAAAAAAAAGTAAAAATACTGTTAACCTTCTAGGCAAATCAGTTTTATTCCTGTAATCCCTGGCTGTAATGTTTTCTTTGCCTCTTTCTTCCCCCAGTGGCGTCGACATGTCTGCACTCCTGCTTAAGCTTGGCTTTAAAGAGTCGCTGGTGCAATCCAAAATGGCAGCAGGCACCAGCACATTCGTGGTGGCCTATGCCATCCACAAGCTGTTTGCACCTGTGAGGATCAGCGTCACCTTGGTCTCTGTGCCCTTCCTTGTCAGGTACTTCCGCAGAGTGGGCCTCTTTAAACCTCCAGCTGCCAAGCCATGATGAAGCCAGTTTCTTCTGAGCAACAGGACTTTGGGTTGGTGTCAGGGTGGGCGGCGGGGGGCAGAGGCTAATTGTTGTGTTCCTTGTGGGTTAATTTTACTTTTGCCAGCAAAAATCAGGCGTCTTAATTTACTTTTTCTTTTTCTTTTTTTTTTTTTTTTTTAATGATCCTCAAAGAGCCATGTATGTGACTTAAAATGTCACCTAGGCTTCACAATAAATCAGGTGTGGTGGTGCAGGCCAGTAAAGCCAACTACTGAGAAGGCTGAGGCAGGAGCATCTCAAATCAAGGCCTGTTGGAGCTACTGGGCTTAGGGTCAACAGAGAAGACAGGGCTGAAGGCATTAGCAGTAGAGCCCTCACCTGGCATGCAAAGGGCCTAGATTTGATCCCAGTACAAAAAGAGACCACCTACAAAATGCTCCTTCTAGGTCATTAGACTGGAGTCTGTGGCAGTGCCCCATGGGTCTAACCTCTGCTCAGGTTCTTAAGAAGCAATGGTTAATTTGCTGGCTTTTTAAACTCCCTCTCCCCTGATTTGTCACTGGCAGCAACCTGTAGTTTAACACACAGTATTCTGTAGACAGCTGCCAGCACTACAATTAGTGAAGCAAAAATTAACAATCCGTAATCATAATCTACATTAGCTCCAAGCCCTTGACACTCACAATGATTGCTTCAGGGAAAGCGAGCCAGGAACTTCAGGTGGGCTTCACGGACTCTGAAGCACCTGCGTGTCTGCATGTGCTGGGACTGCTTGTCTGAAATCTCATTGATAGGGGGCAGAATCGTAAAACATAGAAACGCTGCCCAGTCCTCATGTCATCACTTGGCTCCTAACACCCGTGTTTAGGGGAACTCAGATTCTCACAGGGAAGCTGGAAGCATCCTAGCTTTCTTAGACAATCCACTTAGCTATCTAAAACTTGAGACATTCCAGAACTGACACGATGTTTACAGTGTGCCACTGTCTAAGTTTTTTAATTGAATTAAGTAATATGCATGAAGTGTTTATATACCACTTTCAAAAAAGTGGAAAATATTGTTTGTTCAAAATGCAAGACAACCATGAAGTACCACAAGCCGAGGGGATGAGAGATGTCTTATTGGGTTTTATTGCTGTGGTGAAACACCATAACCAAAAGCAACTTAGGGCAAAAAGTGTTGACTTCACTCACAGGCCCATGTAACAGTCCATCATCAGAAGGAACCTGGAGGCAGGAGCTGATGCAGAGGCCATGGGGGGAGCTGCCTACTGCCTTGCTCCTCATGACTTGCTCAGCCTGCTTTCTTACAGAACCCAGGACCACAGCCCAGGGATGACCCCACCCATGATGGACTGGGCCCTCCCCATCAGTCATTTAAGAAAATGCTTGCCCGCAGCCCAGATCCTCTGGAGGCATTTTCTCAATTGAGCTTCCCTCCTGATGACTCTGCCTGTCATCAAGTTGACATAGAACTGGCCAGCACAAGAGAGCTGGTGTAACTGCAGTCCACCACAGGAGGGTAAGTGTAGAGGAAGGTCAGAGTAGAAACTAAAGCAGAGGCTCAGACTGAGGCTGCCTCCTCCAGGAAGCCAGGAGCAGCTGGAGCAGAAATTGGCTCCATCACTCAGCCCTCCGCCCTGTGCAGGCTGCCCTTGGGCCTTTGTTATGTCAGATCCAAAGGAAAGTCCAATTCCCCAAACCCCAAAAGACAGTCCAAATATCCAGAAATGGGTTCAGCCTGGACTACAGGATTTCTGGTAGTTAGACAAAGCCAGGATTCCTCAGGAACTTGTAAAACCGGTTCCCCTCTACCAAAAGGAGTCATTTCCCTTACTTGACAGAAGGGACATATGGCTACCTGTGGCACCTATCAGCTGTCAAAGCTCATGCTGGTATCATAAGCATCTGACACACGTTTCTAAGTCCCTGCTAGCGTCCAGCTCTTCTCTCCTCCTTTTCCTGAAACTCCTTTGGGCCCACAGGGTTCCCTTCCCCCAGCTGCTCAACCTTGTCATGAGGCTAGCTACTCTTCCTCTTCTTGGCTCCCACTACTATGGTCTCGCTATTCTCTTAATGCAGGCTTTCACTGACTTAACATCAGGATGCATTACAGAAACTAATCCCAATGACAGCCAGGTAGCTGAGCAAGATGTCCCAGTCAAGACAGGTGATGCCTTGTGTGGACTAGATGGGCCTCTCCATTGCCGGGGTGGATCCCCACCCATCCTACTCTCCCACTCAGGTCCCTAAGTAACACCTATGCAAAGAAACACATTGAAAATAGCAATAAAAATACAAATTGTACAGCATGGTCTTCCAAGCCAAACCCCACTCTCATGCCTGTGCCCACAGCCAGAACCAGGGATGAGTTGAGAGGCTGAGAGACTAAAGCACTATATAAACAAAGCTACGAAAGCAGATCTGCTCCCGTTATCCTTAGCGGTGACCTGGAGCAAGGAAACTATTTTAAAATGTGAGCCATTGTTTGCCTGTAGTTTTCTAAACAGACCAAGTGAACAGCTTAAGATTCTGTGAAACCAATAAAAATCTTTGTAAAATGGTGTGTTTTGTTATCTGCCAAACTGTCACTGCTGCCAGTTGGGGACAGCACCAAGTGATGTTAGCATGAGCTGCAGGCGGCAGTGCCCATGCTGGATCCCAGTCGTCAATCAGTTAACGGCAGCTTGGGTGGACAGTACTTAGGGTAGTTAGTGTAGCTCAGGACCAGGGGCCAGATCTTATCTGCCTCTACAGCTCCACTCAGGCATGTTCTCAAGTGTGAGGACAGTCCAGTGGTCACTTGCATGTCCCGTCACCTGACATCTAGTGTCCTGCGTTGGCTGTGACAGCTTCTCTAATTCCAAGCTCCCCTCCGTGATGGACAGAACACTGGCAGCTGTATACGTGACATGGTCAGAACATATCCAAGAGACCAGAAAAGCACACCTGCTCACTCTGGCCAGCAATGAACAGGTGATCAAATGATTGCCGTCTTACTCCAGGCAGATGTTATACACATATTTATATATTTAACAAGTTTGCATACACGACACAACATAAACAGCCCTTAACATCAGAAACACCCGAGTCAGGTCCAGGGCAGGTGGAGCACAGGCCCTGGTGTGGTGGCTGAGGAACGGAATCCCATAAAGGCTTACAGAGACTGAAAACAAGTTTTCTGAAGGGGTGCCACTTACAAGGAAGGAAATACAAATCTTTATTTTAACATTTAAAAGAAAACTACATACTCATTCCAACAGCGTTCCCAGGCCTGGCGACCCAATAAGTTACACACACACTCAGGCACTTGAAGGCTAGATACAGGTGGTCACTGGGGAGGTGAGGAAGAGTGGTAACTTTCCCAGTGAGACCCCCACAAGGACATCTTGGGGACATAAACCACAGAGACTGCTGCAGTGAGTCTTCCCTCCAGATTGCTGAACCAGGAAAAGCAGCATGGTTCATGGGGCTTGGGCAATGTCGCATGGTCAGGTGGGACCTCCTGGATGCACGGCCAGGGACTGGCTGCTCCGCAGGGTGTTCTGAGGGCAACGATGATGGTCCCCAGGTCTCTCTTGATGGGGCGTTTCTCACAGCTGCACAGAGGCCAGGGTTCCAGATTCCCTAAGATGATGTACTAGTTAGCTCTTTGCTTTTTTGGCCAGCCGAAGGTTTTGAGGAATTAGCTTTGACCCAGGGATGCTCAAGGACTTCTGCTAGTGTTAGCCTCTGACTTGAGTTGTGCTTTAACAGTCTTGAAATGAGGTCCCTGGCTCCCTCAGTCACAAAGTCAGGGAATGTGAACTCAACCTGCAAAATAAATGACAAAATGACACTAACAAGAGTCAGAGGTGTGCACCAGTCAACAGCAGCCCTCGGCAGGGCAGGGACTGAGGAGCAGCGCCTTACCCGTGATATCCTTCTGTAGGTCTCCTGGTGGGTGTGTGCCTCGAAAGGAGGCATCCCAACCAGGAACTCATAGCACAGGACACCCAGGCTCCAGAGGTCCACCTTCTCATCATGCATCCGGCCTTCAATCATCTCGGGCGGCAGGTAGTCCAGGGTGCCACACAGTGTGGTTCTCCTGAAACCAAGGTTGACGCACTCTGACATACATGATCACGTGGTGTGAGCACCCCAGACCCAGGAACTGCTGTCACACAGGTGCTCACCTGCATCCCCACTTGTAGGGAATGGATGGCAGGGAGTGTGTAAGGTCACACGCTAGCCACCACGCCTCCCCCAGACCAACCCCAGGACCTCTTAGGAAATCTAAAGAAAACAATGTTCTTCTCTCATCCCAAAGCCAGGCTGGGCTTTGAAGCAAGACCCATCCCAGAAAACAATGACGAAGTTGCTATGCAGTGTTCTCTGTAAACATTCTTTGGAGTCCGCATGAGCTCTCAGGTCACACCTGTAATTCCAACATCCGGTAGGATGAGGCAAGAGGACTGACAGGCTCAAAGCCAACCTGGGCTAGTGTGAGATTGTCTCAGTGAAGCGGGGATAGAAAAGGAAAGTCTTGGAAATACAAGGGGTCATTTTAGACGGTGCATTCTTTGGGTATATGCCCTAGAGAGGAATCGTTAACAGAGGAATCTAAAATGGCTGGAAGAGCTCAACATCCTTGGCCATCAGGGAAATGCAACTCAAAACCACTCTGAGACACCATCTTACTCCTGTCAGAATGGCTAAATCATAACACTAATGACAGTTTATGCTGGAGAGGATGTGGAGAAAGGGGAACACTTCTCCACTGCTGGTGGGAGTGCAAACTTGTACAACATTTTGGAAATCAGTATGGTGGTCTCAGGAAAATGGGAATCAGTCTACCTCAAGATCCAGCAATTCCACTCTTGGGCATATACCCAAAGAATGCACATTCATACAATAAGGACATCTGTTCAACTATGTTCATAGCAGCATTATTTGAAATAGCCAAAACCGGGAAGCAACCTAGATGTCCCTCAACTGAAGAAAGGATAGAGAAAATGTGGTACATTTACACAATGGAGAACTATTGAGAAGAAAAAAAACAATGGAATCTTGAAATTTGCAGGAAAATGGATGGAACTAGAAGAAACCATCCTGAGTGAGGTAACCCAGTCACAAAAAAGACAAACATTGTATTACTCATATGTGATTTTTAGACATCAAAGGATTACCAGTCTACAATCCATACTGCCAGAGGAGCTAGGAAACGAGGAGGACCCCAAGAGAAGATTGCATAGTTCCTTGAAGAAGGGGAGGTGGACAAGAACCCCTGAGCAAAGTTGGAGTGGGGGGAGAAAGGAGGTGGGAAGAGAAGAAAGAGAGTGGGGAGGAGAACAAGAGGCCTGAGACAGGGGAGGAACAGAGGAGGGCAAGAAAGGAGAGGCCTTCATAGAGGGAGACAGTGCACGTGTGGAGAGAGGTCTGGCGCAGGGGAAATGTTAGGGGATCCACAGGGATGACCCCAACTAAGAATCCAGGCAGTGGTGGAGAGGATGCCATTGATGCCCTTCCCCTATAATGAGAATGATGTCTACCCTGGATACTATTCCTAGAGCCTTCATCCAGTAGCTGTTCGAAGCAGAAACAGGCACCCACAGCTAAGCACTGAACAATACTCCTGGAATCCTTTTGCAGAAAGGGAGGAGGGATGAGCAAAGGAGCCAAGACTGCTGGAGAAACAGTTGACCTAACCTAGTGAGAGCATGGAGACCCTCGTCATAAAGCTGGGGAAACAGCATTGGACCAAACCAAGCACTCTGAATGTGGGCGCCAGCTAGGAGGCCAGGGCAGTCTATGAGACCTCTGACAGTGGAGCCAGTCTTTAACCCTAGAGCACAAATGGACTTTGGGAGCCCATTCCCTATGGAGGGAGACTATTGCAGCCCAGATACAGCAAGGAGGGCTTAGGCCCTCCCCCAAGGGAACAAGGGAGGGCGGGAGGGTGAGGGAATGGGGGGATGGATATTTAAATATGAGTGCCTCTAAAATAAAAGATAATAATGAAATGTAAGGGGCTACAAGCTGCGGGAGGCAGTCCATACTGCATCAATTTCACTGGGATCTTTAACCCTTCGGCTGTTTTAGGTTAGGGAGTTTAAAGATTTCATTTTTATTTTACATGTGTTTTGCCTATCTGTCTATGCACATAAATGTTGTGTCCAAGGAGACCCAGAAAGGGCATTGCATCTCCTAGAACTGGAGTTACAATTGTGAGCCACCACATGGGTACTAGGAACTGAACCCAGGTCCTCTGCAAGAGCAGCCAGTGCTAAGCCACCTCTCCATTTTTTAAAAATTTAAAAATTTTTTAAAAAGCATTTTGCTACATGAGCCCAGACTGACCTCCAAGGCCCCCTGGCCCCAGCCTTCTAGCTGCTTCTGGGATTGTAGGTGTTGCCACCACACCTGGCTGAATTGTTTTCAAGACAGTCTATCCAGACTGACTCCAACTTGAGGTCCCCTCCTCTCTCAGCCTGTCAGTTCCTGAGATTAAAGTGTACACCAGCACACTGGGCTCAGTTAAATTTCTCTCTCACACTTTCAACAGAGGGAGAGGGAGAGGTAGAGGTAGGTGTGTGTGTGTGTTTGTGTGTGTGTGTTCTGATTTAAAAGTAGCCATAAAATTCTTAAGCTAAAATTCTTAGCTTAAGAAATCTAAGAATTCAGCTAACATTAGCGGCAGTGACTGCAGAGTGCCTCTGTCTTAAGGAATGCACACTGAAAACATCTTGATCTACAACTGACTTTAACTATCCACGAAGCCAAAGCCACAGTGCCCAGTGCTCTGGGATGGAGCAATGGACTCTGCTGCCATCACCAATCCAGCGTTTTCTATCCACTTGGGCTTTGAAGACCACAGCTGGAGCAAGCCGGGAGCACAGTGGAGGCCCCTGGTGCTGAGATGGTGTGGGGCACACTCAGACATGTCTGTGCCCCCACAACCACTCTGGGATCCTCAAAAGGTGGTCCCCAATAACCAGGCAACTATGCTGGGGACTGAGTTTGAGAGGCAGTTGGAGCAACTGTCAAGATTCATACCTATTATCTCTCCTAAAACCTGCAAGCTGTGGCTTTACACTGGAGTCACCACAGTCCTGGCTAATCACACAGCCCCACACACTATAGCTCTCTGGTGTTTGTTTCACTGGTAGGCAGGAGCGCCCACTGATGTCATCAGTTCAAAAAACCTGCCACAGTGCAGCTGGAGACAAACAGAAGTGACCTTAAATGATGCTACTTTTTAAAACAGGCTTTACATTTTTTTAAACAACATTTATTTGCATTGGGGTGTATGTGCACCTATGTGAGGAAGCCTTCCACAGGAGGACAATTTGGCTGGAGTCAGTTCTCTCCTTCCGCCAAAATGGTGCCAGAATTTAACTCAATCACCAGGCTCGGCAACAAGCACCTCTATCTGCTAAGCCTTCTTCTCCTCCAGCCTCCACTAGGCTTTTAAAAAACATCATTAGGTAATATTTTTAAAAGTAGTCCCAAAACCGGCAAGACCCTGACAGCAGGAGCCCCATGCACATGAATTCCAAAGCTATTCAAACCCAAATTCAATTGGCAAAGCTGGGAAAGTTTGCCTCCTTTTCAATTGTTGTATTAGATGACGTCTCTGCTTCAGCTTTAAAGGGGACAGTAAAGGTCCATTCCTGCTGTTGACACAAGAGGCAGGCATCCTCAGCGGTGCACCCACACCACGTGGTTTCAAAGTTCCAGACAACCAGTGCATGGCTCTGCTCTCCACCCCTGGTAAGGTCGAGCCCCTCAAGAGCACATCTCTGTTTATCAACCGTACATAACACACCTCTAAATTCATCACCCTCTTCCATTAGCCTCTGGGGACATTCAGCATCCGCCCACTGAGGCCAGAGCCCAAAATGGTCACAGAAAAAAACTTATCAGTTCTACATTCTCCCTAAGTATTCCTAGGTCAGCCAAGGCCCCTTATTTCAGAGTAGACTAGCATTCAGTTAACAGTCCCCCACCCCCACCCCCGTCCAGGGCTTCTGCTAACTGCTTCCACCTCTGGAATTGCATACCTGGAAGATGGAGCATGCACAGACCACCCAAAGTCTGCGATCTTCAACTCCCCATTTGGCCCAAGAAGCAGGTTCTCTGGCTTAATGTCTCTGTGAATGACTCTCTTTGAATGACAGTACGATAGAGCGTTTGCCAACTCCGTGATGTACTGTTGGGGAAAGCATCGAAGTGCAGGGTCAGGTTTATGTAATGCAGTCAGGCAACTGTGAAAGTTGATCTAACAGAGAGAGACTAACACGTTTTTCAGCTTTTGAAGCAAACACTGTAGACAAAAGGGTAAGTCTATAATCACAGCTGCAGACTGACAGACTCACTCGGGGCTCAGTTAACACTAAGCTAATGCCAGTAATGTGACCTTGTAAGGCAGGGAAGGCATTGGTATAAACTGAATTAGAGTCCTACCAGGTAACTGAGGAAGAACTGCACCATTAGCAAGTCAAACAGTCTAGCAACCTTTAACCATCTAAAAGGCCCTGACCAGGTGCACAGACCCGGAAGGAAAAATCCCACAGTCTGCTTGGCATCCCATGACAGGATACCCAAGGCAAATATGTCAGGCTTTAAGTCAATCCTTTCCTACTAAGTCCGGGGCCTAGGCTGTAGTTCAGTGTAGCATGCATGATCTCAGAACAAGAGCTGAGGGTGGTGCAGTGTGTCCCTGTGTCACATGCGGATGTAATTGGGGGAGGGGGGGGACACCTTTGTTTTCCCAAAAGGAAAATAAGGCAGAAAGAGAAGAAAAAGAAAAAGTCATTGTCAAATAGGACATTTTTCATTCTTTTGTAGCCCACAATGGAGACCAACTTTGGAGCACAATGAAACTGACACTGCACACTGTCAGGCAGAGGCAGTGACCTGACTCCCAGAGCCATCGGCACCTTCGGAGCCACCGGCAGCAGGGGTGAGGGTTAGCCAGCACTCCCTGGAACCACGTCCCTCACACCTCTCAGGCTGTGAGTCTAGGGCAGACCTAGACCCCTTACACAGCTCTACAGTTATTTAAATCATGTGAAAAGGAAATAGGTGCGAACGCTACTCTGAGTGATGAGGAATCTAGAAAGAAATATGCTTGACTTATAGCCAAATGCACACACTTAGACTGAAGCCTTAAAAGGACAAGCGTGAACACGTAGAGCATATTTACATCCAAGCTTGGGTTCTGAAGTAGGATAACTCAGGAAACGGAGGGATAATTTCCTATTAACCTTTGAGAACAAAGTTGGTCAATCTGATTTCTTTTTGCTTCTCTGTTTTGTTTTTCAAGATATGGTTTCTCTGTGAAACAGCCCCGGTCGTCCTGGAACCCATTCTACAAGGCCAGGCTGGCCTCAAACTCACAGAGATTGGCCTGACTCTGTCTACCAAGTGCTGGGATTAAAGGTGCTTGCCGCCACCACCTGGCTGGTGATTTCTTTAATGGCCAATTAAGGAGGGGACACTCAGGCTGGGAGGAAATACCTGCAGGACGCACAACAAAGGAGCTGAAGGAACTAAACCAACGGGGAAAAATCACTATAAATAAAAGGGATACAGGACCTCGTGACGTATAAATGACAAACAGCCAGTGTCACGTGACACTGGGAAACCACAGATCAACTGGGAGAGACCACTATACCCTGTCTGTCAGAACCACCGATGCCCAAAACCCTGGCAGCAAATGCCAGAGGGGGTGCTGGCATTCAGTGACAAAGCCGCCACCAACTGACCCAAGCACACTGTCTCACACACACTGTGTCACACACAGTGTCACACCCACACAGTGTCACACCCACACACAGTGTCACACCCACAGTGTCACACCCACACAGTGTCACACATGTACACAGTCACACACATGCGCACACACCGTCACACACACAGTGTCATACATGTACATACATTGTCGTACATACACTGTCACACACGTACACACAGTGTCACACATGCACACACTGTGTCACATACGCACACACCCTGTGCCACACACACACACACACACACACACTGTGTCACACACGGACATACACTGTGTCACACAGTGTCACACATACACACACTGTGTCACACATGTACATACATTGTCACACATGCACACACACTGTCACACACACATACACTGTGTCACACGCACATACACTGGAATGCATAACTAATGAGCACACAGTGGGTACTGCTCTCACCGCTGGCATGCAGCGTACAGTGCAGCCAGGGAGAGGCGTGGCCACAGTGGTCCACACGGAATCATGAGCTGAAGCATCAGGCCAGCTGGCTGCATCGGGACGCGTGGACACTGATCGCTACACATGCACCCCGCCTCTCTGCAGTTGAGGACACAGAACATCAACAGCTCAGCAGCAAGGGCTCCAGCAATAGTCACTGGACCTCAGATTCTCCAAGGAAGGAAAGAAGGGCTGCTTCTTAGGGCAGCACAGAAGAAAAGGCCGGCCAGCACTCTGCACCAGAGAGAAAGCACACATCTGGCCCAAAGCCCCGCAATGGCGGTTTACATGGGAACCAGGAAGAGCTCCCGGTAGCCAATGCTGGGAACAACAAAATAGAGTGGCACTGGCCAAACATAAAACACATCCTCTGCATCTTTAGTTAAGGACAGGAGGAAAGGCCATTCTTCCAGAGGACGCAGGTTCAGGTCCCAGCATCCACATGGGTGTTGGCAATCATCTGAAACTCCAGCTCCCTCTTACAGCCTCTGAGCATGTGGTACACAGATAAACATGCAGGCAAAATGTTCCTATACATAAAATAAACCTAAAAAGAACTAATGAGACAGGAAAAGCAAACTCCTGGCCCAAACTCCAAAAAATTCACACTCCGCTTACTCCTCAGAGCGAGCTGTATTTAGCAGCTCTGAGTACAGTATGGGTAGGGAGATATTGGCTTCATAGTAGAAGCAAGACAAGGATTACCCCAGGCACAGGACACTAAGCTTGGCACCTAGCAAGCAGTCGCATTACAAATGCACAACGGTGACTGTCAAGAGTACACTGGGAACTAAGCTCTTCCTCAGTACCGACGCTCCTTCTAATCACCGTGGCAGTGTGAACGTCATTGTCCCCCATAAGCTCATAAGGGAGTGGCACTATTAGGAGGTGTGGCTTTGTTGGAGTAGGTATGACCTCGTGGGAAGAAGTGTGTCACTGTAGAGGCGGGATTTGAGGTTTCCCATGCTCAAGATACCACCCAGAGTCTCAGTTCACTTCCTGTGCCTCCAACATGTAGGACTCTCAGCCCCTCCTCCATCGGCCTGCACAAGGCCGTGCTCCCGGCCATGAAAGTGGACTCAACTCCGAAGTGGAAGCAAGACACCCCAATTAAATGTTTTCCTTTACAGGAATTTCCATGGTCTTGGTGTCTCTTCACAGCAATGGAAACCCTAACACACACACACACACACACACACACACACACACACACACACACACACGCGCGCGTAGACACACAGACACACAGACGCAGGCACGCAGACGCAGGCAGGCAGGCAGGCAGGCACGCACACACCCAGAGTAGATGACAGGGAGAGGGGATCTACATTATATACATTTTCACACACACACAAAGTTACAAGCCACCGCTCTATGAGGTCTAAGCTGCGTTGACTTTTTCAGCTATTGTATTCTACGAACCCTTTCTAGGAAGGAAGACAAAGTCGACTGCACCATGAAGAAAGGCGCACTGAAAGGCAAGGAGAGGGAGCATGAGCCCGGCCAGTGAGGAGGCACTTACTGTAGCTGTCCTCTGCTCGTCAAACTTGGAGAGTTTCTGGAGCTCTCTATAGACAGTCCCGAGAGGCGCGTATTCTAGAATCAGATAAACTCTGGTGGCGTCATGGAAATAGCCATACAGCCTGAGGATGTTGGGGTGCCTGCAACAAAGAATGGAGAGGGTGACACCTGGCTTCAGAGCCACTCAGGGTGTTCTGAGTGTGACCCTGAGGAAATAAACCCAACGGGATGTGTCAGAGCACACACGAGATTTGGATGCTGAGCCCACCAAAGAAAACGACACCTTACACATGGGTTTCATTCACACTGCTCCCTTTGAGATGTCTTTATTCTTAGTGGGACTTGTGGGCTGAACACCAGTCTCTGTGTGTTGAGGAGGAAGGAGTTTCTTCTCAGGCATGAGATTTGCCAATGGGAAACATAACCGACCGAGGCAGAGGGCCGGCAATGGGCAGGTGCCAAGTGGCTGGGCAGCCTGCCGGAGGTGACAGCACCACTCACGGTCCCCATTCCCCCCCTGCCAGGTGACAGCAGGCCAGACAAGCCAGATGAGACCAGAGCTTCAGGACTGGCCCCTGAATCAAAGTTGGAAAACACTGAAAGCAGAAAGGGAAAATAGAAGAAAACAAAATGCACTGACTTAGCCAGGACCTCCCCTAATTCTGCCCTCCCCCCCCACCCCGAGGAAAGAAAGCCCAGTCAACAGCTTGAGTGATGTTTTCCTTGGGGCCACGTCCCTGCATCTATGGGAAATGCCCCGAGATGAGCGGGGCGCAGTCACACTGGCTTGGCTCCCTTTCCTCCTCCGGCAGGGGGAGCACTCACCGAAGGTGGGACTGTATCTCCACCTCCCGTCGAAGCTGGTGTTCTACCCCAGCCTTCTCCAGCTGCGTTTTAAACAGCACCTTCAGGGCCAGAATGAACTTGCTTTGCTTCTCCCTTGCCAAATAGACATTTCCAAACTTTCCTTTACCCAGTGGGCGGCCAATGTCAAAGTCTTCCAGAGTCCACTGCCTCCTAAAAAGTAATGTGAACATTTAAAATACGAAAAAACCTCTACCATTTGCCAATGAGCAGTCAACCTGCCAACCTGTTCATGCTCAACTACATCCAGTCCATACAGTTAATAAGCACTAACCGGAACCACCAGAATGAGCCACAAACCTTAAAGGCTAACTTCCCAGCCCAAAGTAGCCCTCACTCCAGAATACAGACAACCCTCACCACCACAGGACAGCAACAGTACAGACAGCACACCCTTGCAGGACCTCCCTGCACAACCCCAGAGAAGCCAACAGGCTGTGGGGCAGAGTCACTCTGGTGTGAGATACAGAGCCACTGTCATAGGTGAACCAGGACAGACCCAACAGGCCATTCCAAACGGCCTCGCAAACTGTGTAGAAGTTCACTGAGTTGTCTAGTCTTCCAGTCGGTGCTGCATATTAACGTGTGGTGTTTTTCTATTTACTACCTTTTTAAATGATAAAGTTTTAATAAAATTTTCTATGAAAAGCATAATTAAAGAACTAAAAATTAAAGAACTTTGGGTCCCCTGGTAAATTTGCTTTAATGGGGATGGTGGCCTGCAGCCAGATGGTACTCCGGGAGATGAGGAAGAAAGCTTACTTTTTTGAGTCTTCTGTTTTCTGCTTTGATGCCCGATCGTTTTCAGAATTATTTCCTATATGAAATAAGTTAAAATACTGTTTTTAGAGCAACTATATAGTTCTTAGAGAAAAAAGAAGTCTGTGAACAGAGATAAGTCAAAGGATAGTCCCATAGCGGGGCATGGTGGTGTACACCTTCAATCCCAGCACGCAGGAGGCAGAGGCTGGATTGGATCTCTGTGAGTTTATCAAGCATGATAAACCTGAGCCTTTCATTTTCTTCCCTGGGGAGACTACTAAATCAGAAACCACAGCCCGTAACCTGACTCCTGCCACATGGGGTCTCATAATTCCTAAGGTAAATATGAGCAGGCCCCCCTTCCCCTCCAACAAGACCAGGACTGTCCATCCTTGCTGGAGCCTTTGCCCAGAAAGAGCTTCCAGAGAGAAACCAGCAGCAGCATCTCCATCCTCAAGCTGCCACCGACAGCCACCTTCTCCACCTGCAGTGGGGGCAGCCGACCTAAGTCCAAACTAATGTCTCCTCAGGATTCATTCTCGACTCATGTCATGTCTTCCCCTCACCACTGTGGGGCTGAGGACCATGACTCCACAATGTGACCGGAGACCAGAAGAAGCTACCCAAAATACACCTTAACCTCTTCTGTCCTGCCAATCAGGAGCTGCAGGCCCAGAAGACCCCTAAAGACACAGGTGCACTTCTAAGGGACAGACAGCAAGGGGACAAAGTGGGCGGGCTAAAAGGCTGCATCCGCTCCTCTGTCCTTCCCAGCTGGTAGCTGCCTCTCTCTCTCCATTGGAGGACCCAGGCCCCTCTCCATTGCTGGAGCTCAGGATCCTACATAAGCTTCAGCCATCTGACCCTGCCGCAGTCACCCTTCGGGGGACCAGTATATATGTACACAATTTAAGTGGGTTTCCTCCAGACTGCCTGCCTGCCATTGGCTTACTTTACAAACTCCTCTATCCCCTTATATGGACCCAGCTCAAGTTTTCTCTCTTCCCACACTGTTACAGCTGCCACACATCCTCCAAGTCTTACCTCCCAATCATCTTGAATCTGCTTCCTAAATGAGGCAGCAAATTCACCCACACCTCTCAAGACAAGTTAGCTGCTGCGTGTTAGCCCCTTCTGTAGATGTGTACCAATAACTGGCTGTCTACGTGAAACGGCTGTAAGGGTTGTGGGGATGCAGATCTAGGCTATATCTCTGATCTTGCAAGCAAGCACTCTTGAGCTGCTAATTAATCATCAACATTAACCCTGCTCCAGTCACTGCCGTCTGAGTTCAGCCTTGCTCTCAGACACACCAGCAGCAGCAGCAGCAGCAGCAGCAGCAGCCTCTGCCTTACAGGCAACAATTCCTTCTGCTCCAAAGAACATCCAGTAGCTTCCCCTTGGCAGGGCCGGCAATTACATCTATAATCATCCCATCTTCTCTTCATCTTCAGCAGACACGGTATAGAAGCTAGGGCATCAAAGGATAAACACCAATCTACCCACTTGCTTTTTGAGCAACAGCTAAAAGAATGACGATCCAAGGCAGTGAAAAGACTGGCTTACCAGAGTCCGCAGGTGATGCCTGCTCACTCTTCTGGGGGTCACTAAGCTGGGATACTGGCCGAGGAACGCTGACAGCTGGCAACTGCTTTGGCACTGGCTTCTGACCTGAGACAGCTTTCTGTGCTTGTGAAGGGACACGGTGGGAGGAGTTGGAAGGACATAGGACACGCTGGGCCTGGCCACTGCTAGCAGGAATCTGCTCTGTCACCAACACTCGTTTTGGACCAAAGGGACCTGTGGTCTGAGACAGAGAGAAAGCAGGCATTATGACTGATGGTACCCTGAGAACTCAACCAAGTTTCTTTTGTAAATCTAACAAAACTCATAAACATGGTGGATAATAAATGGAAATGGGGGCCGGAGAGATGACGGAGCAGTTAAGACCACTGGCTGCCCTTTCAGAGGGCCTGGGTTCGGTTCTCAGAACCTACACGGTGGCTCAAAATCTGTAGTTCCAGATCCAGGGGTTCTGATGCCCTCGTCTGGCCTCCTCAAGTGTCAGACACACACATGGTACACAGATATACATGTAAGCAAGCATTCATTCACATAAAATAAACAAATCTTTTTTAAAATAAAGTTAAAAGGAGGGGGAGATGAAGCTATTTTAAAGTGTGTGTGGCAAAAGTGAGGACACCTCCCACCCTCGCCCCAAATCCTGCTCTATTAACCATTCGAGAACTAGGCCTCTGCAAGGTTACGATGCCAGGGATGCTGTAATGCCCACACCTGTAATCCCAGTCCTTGGCAGGCTGAGGCAGGAGAAGCACTGAGCCCTAGACCAGCCTCAGTGAGCCCATCTGTCAGCAGCAGACTCAACTGTTATCAAAACCTTGTTAGGATTTTGTTTAGGAAAAAGACTGAAGGAAACCCATGACTGTACCCAGTACCATCATCCGCAAGCAATTCTGCAAAGCAGTCTAAACTTATGGTTATGCAAGTTTTCTATAAGATGATTAATGGCATTACTGTTCAATTCCCTGATTTCACTTCAAGAGTACTTAACCAACAGGACCTCACTACATAGTCCTGACCAGCCTGGAACTCACTGTACAAAACAGATCAGACTCTGTGTCAGGCCGCCTGCCTCTGCCTCCCAAACACTGAAACTAAAGGAGTGCAGTGCCCTCCATGCCCTACCCAACAGAAATAGTTTTTAAGAATGTAATCTCCACCCAGGGTTTGGAGGCCCTGGAAGTACACACCTTTAATCCCAGCACTTGGGAAGCAGAGGCAGGTAGATTCCTGTGAGCTCAAGGCCAGCCTGGTCTACAGAGTGAGTTCCAGGACAGCCAGTGCTACACAGAGAAACCCTGTGATGGGGGGATGGAGGAATGTAATCTCCAAAACTAAAATGCATAAGAAATTATTAAGAAGTTGAGTTTTCAATAGGAAAAAAAGGGGAACTCTGACACAGAAGAAACAAATGTAGGTTCCTGGAAGAATCATTATTACTGCACTGCACTGTAAGTAGGACTTGCTTCTGTTTAAAAAGAGGCTCAGGATTCACCACCCACTGAGACGGCAGGAGGCTGCAAGTGCAAAGCCATCTCCTGCAGAAATGGAGGCCACCGCACAAGAGGGCTCCAGGCAGGGTCAGGAAAGGGAACACCAGAACAACTTTCACAGGAACTGTCCCTATGGCTCAGTGGATGAGGGCTCTTGCAGCCAAGCCTGACAACCTGGGTTAGAGTCCCAACCCACATGGTAAAAAGAACACACTCTGGCATGGGTGTTAGTATTTAGGTACCAGTACTGGCCTGCCCTTGGGGTTCTGACAGGACTCGCCCTCAGCTGCAGCCACTGAGAGCACCACGTGTGCACACTCACTATGTTCCCTTTTAAGAGGCCCCACCCCCTCCCATCCCCCTCTCTCCCTCCCCCCACCTCTTCCCCCCCCCTTTCTCCTTTTTATGATCCCTTCCCCCTAATAAAAAACCCTCTGATTCAACCTTGTCTCATGACATCCATTTTGAGTCTGCACTGCTTTTCTTAAATTACAACATTGGTTCCCTAACCAGGAAATGCTCTCCTGGCATCTCCTCCTGCCCGAAGGCAGTTTGAGGCATGCCAGCACCCTAGAACCCGGTTCACAAACGACAACCTCACTTCCATCCAAAATCATCCTGATTGGTGAGCCACTCCACCTTCCCCACCTTGGCTATTCCCACAAGTGAGGACTCCTCTGTCTTATGAAAGGTATCTTGCCTTTTGGCCTGGTTAAATCCTGATACAACTGGGCTCTGAGTCCTTGGCCCCACCCTTTGTGTGATGACCCACTGGGTGGCTTATGCCAGTCTTAGACCCTCTGTTACTTTAGCCCCTGCCCCTTGACAGACAAAATCACCAAATCGGCTTGTGCCTTTCTCACTTGATAAGCCATTGGATCACTGGGTCGTGGTGGTGCACGCCTTTAATCCCAGCACTCGGGAGGCAGAGGCAGGAGAACCTCTGTGAGTTCAAGAGCAGCCTGGTCTACAAGAGCTAGTTCCAGGACAACCTCCAAAGCCACAGAGATCCCGTGTCTCAAACCCCAGCGCCCCAAAAAGCCACGGGATCTTGTTCTGTCTCACTCATGTGGAATACGCCTGCCAAAACCGCTTCCCAGCACTCTGTAATCACTTCATGCTGGGACCCTACCCAACTGCTTCTCCTTCACTCTCTCCCACCTGCAACAAATCTGACGGCTTTGTCTTCCATCCATACCAACAATGGGTCTCTGGTGGGGTTATCCACTTCTGACCATTCCCAGAGATGTGAGACATTTCTCCAGCACAGTTCTTTCCTCGCCTTCTGGCTTTTCCCGGAGTCTGGGTACCAGACGACTGTATCTCTCAGGCTCAGAATCCTTGGCCCCCACCCTTTGAGTGACAGCCTGTGCCAGTCTCGAAACTGGCCCTCTCTGAATTCCTGGGATGCTAGGAATTGCAGACCCTTGGGTCTTACTCTCTGCCTCACTCATGGGAGCTGTGTCACCATCTATGCCTCCTTGCTCCTATTGAGATGTTTTTGGAGACCCACGGACCATTCCTAATCGGCTACTGTTGCAGTACTACCAGGTGTTGGCCGTAGAGCTGGAGGCACAAGACTACCAAACATGCCCAGTGATGCTGTGGTGACGGGAAAGGACCAGGCGCTTTACGCCCTAGGGTGTTGATTTGGATTCACCAAGAACGGCATTTTGCCAGGTTCAGGAGGCACCTTGATGGTTCCACAGAGCCTGGACAGTGAAGTGAAACAGCCAGCTACTCCAGGACATGGCTAGCACCCCAGCTTTCCTAGGTCCCCCAAAGATGAACGATGCCCCCCAGGTCAGCAGGAAGTAGTCTTGAAAACACAATGGTCTCATCCCCACCTCACCTGCTACCCCTTTCTAATGACTCATCTTTTTATAATAAGAGGGAGGAATATTAGTATTTAGGCATCTATCCTTGGCCTGTTCTGACAGGATACGCCCTCAGCTGCTGTCAGCTCCCACCCTTCTTTCTTTCTTTCCCTCCCTCTCTCTCTGCTGGTGCTCCTGTCTCCCCCTCCCCTATTTATGATCTCTTTCCCTAATAAAAAGCCCTTCTCTGCTTGAACCCTGTCTCATGCCATCTTTCTTGAAGGCTGCTTTTCTTAAATTACAACAATGGGTGCACACAAACAAAATGCATTTCATTTCAAAACAACTTTTCAAAATTCAATTGTGATTACAGGTAATTCTTTTTACCTTAACAGGCCTGGAAACACAGTTTTCTTTACATCTGTCCATGTCACCTGAAGAGAGAAACAAGAGCCTTTCATTGACAGGAAGCCACGTACTGCTGTGCTCCGCAGTCACTGCCTCTGACAGACAGGCCTCTGTGACCTGCAACCTCACACTTCCCACTGACAATCCTGCACCCAGCTCCTCACATCCTCTCATTCTCTTCCCTCCTGGGCTTGTTCTTTCTGCTCTAAAACATGATGCCCAGCATATACAGCCTGCTTGGGTTACCCATTTGCTGCACAGCTACCCCAGGCCATGGTCCCATCTCCCATAACCCTTGAACAACAAAGCTCACCTACTCTTTTCCCAAGCCATTCCCATTGGGCCTTTTGAATCCCACGGTATTGCCAGTCTCTCAGCTTCCCCTACGGTGGCAAACCCAGCACTAACTTGATTCCTGGGGAACAGGTTTCAGCCAATCACATTTGCCCATTTCCCAGTTTATCTATTACCTTGCAAGCTGTCACTTCCTACCCTCCTGGCTTGGCCTCATTTTTTCCCCTAATCCCAGTCCTTCGCCTTCTCATCTACATCAGATGACCTTCACAGATCCCATTCAGCCAAGATTTACAACTCCATGTAAGAAAAGTTCTCCTGACACAGCAGGAATCAGCCTTGGGCTTCCCTTTTCAGATACGGGTTGCAGTCAGGACAAACACCTGCTTGCAGTCAGGACAAACACCTGCGTGTTATTGAAAAGCCCCTACTGCAAAGATGGGGGAGGCTAGGCAGGAGATGGAGGCATTAAGTGAAGGACTGGGGCTGTACCCACCTCACCTGTAGGAAGCCTGTAGGAAACGGAGCCCTGGGACCAGATGCCAGCTTGGCTAAATGACCTGCATTTTAGCTTTCCCATGATTAGCTATACCAGGATCCTATCCCTAAGATATTTCTATTTCCTACATTTGCAGTGGAGCCAGGATTTTGTTTGTTTGGTTTGAGATGGGGTACCTCTGTGTAGCCCTCCTAGGTAGTCTGGAACTCAGAAGTCCTTCTACCTGCTCCCAAGTGATGGGATTAAAGGAATTTGGGACCATATCAGTCTTGTATTTGTTTTTGAGACAGTGTTTCATGTAGCCCAGGCTGGCTTTGAACATGCTATAATGGAGGATCACTTTGAACTTCTGATCTTCCTGCCTCCACTTCCCCAATGGGAATTACAAACATGGTCACCGTGCCCAGTGTATGCAGTGCTAGGATTTGAATCCAGGGCGTGGTACACAAGAACTACATTCCCAGATAGGCCTCACTTTTGGGAAGGGCTCTCACATTGTATCGGAAGCTAGCTTCAAACTCAAGGCTACCCTCCTGCCTCAGACTGCTGATGTGAGCAACCACGCTGGGTGTGGGGATGGGGAGATGACTTATTTTTGTTTTTTTTTGTTGAGTCAGGGTCACAGTTCAGGCTGGCTTCCGATCTGCCATGTAACTTGTGATCCGCCTGCCTCCACCTCCTCACCATCGGAATTAAAGGCGGGGGCTACCATGATGGTTTAGGCAGTGCTGGGGGCCGAGCCCGGGGCTTCCGGAATATTCTACAAGCTGAGCTTCCGCGGGTCTACACCGACACCGACTGCTCAAAAGGCTGCGGTGAGGGGGCAGCACGACCCCGGGCGTCTCTACAAGGGGACCCCCGCCTGGTCCCCACTGAGCCGCAGTTGCTTCGTCCATACCACCGCCATCGGTTTGCAAATCACCCGGTATGGCCGGTGGTCCGGGTCCCATTCCCACCAGAACCTAAACCCAAGGAGGGACGAGGCCACCTGGATCTCCGCTGCACCGATGCGAGCCCCGAGAGACAGCCCGCCACCCCCGGGCCCCTCTCCGCCCCGCGTCGCTCTGCAGCGCCCAGGCTCTCCCTGGCCCGCCGGGTCCCCTTCCTACCCCGGGGCAGGATCGCGTCTCCAGCGAAGACTCCAAGCGATTCCAGGAGCTCAGCCGTTACAATTCAAAGGTTCTCCTTTGAAACAGGAGTTAAACCCTCTCCTCCGGAAGCTGATTGGCTGGAGGCGAAGCGGCGCCGTCCTGTGATTGGCCCGCCGTGAACGCGACGACGGGAAGCTCGTTCCGGGCCGTAGCCGGGGCGCAGGCGCACTGAGCCGTCAGCGCCCGGAAGTGGTGCGCCAACGGCCTGTCCGATCTGTGGCCGTTCTGTCGTTCGCCGTGCTCCCCAGGATCGGGCGTTTGCCGGTCACACAGCAGCCCTTCGGGTTCAGGGTTGCCGCGAAGGTGATCAGCTCGGAGGAGGAGAGTGAGCGTCTCGAACGTGCCAGTGAGTAAGATGGCGAGAAGGGCAGGCTGGCCGAGTGAGCGGGAGGGTGCTCGGCGCTCGGCTGCCTGCCCTTGGCGCGTGCGCAGTGGGCGTGCGCTCGGAGCGATCGATCGGGCACGATTCGCGCCTCCATCTTTCCAGAAGAGAGCGGGAGACCGGGACCCTGATCCGGGGGTACGGAACGGGCTCGGGTGGCAGGCGCAGGGAGACGGGCTGGTGC